ATGTATAACACATTTATTGAACAGGACTAGGATTTATTCTATGTGAGGTAGCAAAAGCAGAGCCAATGATATATTTTATTCATTTTACAGTTGGCAAGAGCCTATTTTTCCTCACCAGTTTCTCCCGCCTCGCTTCATCTGTTTCTCTTGACTGTACCGTCACATCAAACAATATTGTAATCCATGTAAAAGCCACTTTACAGTAAAAGAGAATGAGGTCAGATGCTGAGTGCTCACCATCATATTGATTTTATTCTGGCACGGTAAAAGTTCTCAGACACCTCATTCTTCCTCACTTGTGCCTGTCTCAGGAAGCAGACCCCCTCCCTTCATTTCTATGACCCAAAAGCCTGCTATTATTTCACATGTAGCAGGATTCTTCTCTATGAGGCATGGCAGCATATTAACACATGAAAGTGCTTTATATGTGGATGCACTAATGATTATGTGTCTTTGCTCCAGTATGGTTTGTAGGAGAAAAAGGACGTACAGAATAGTTCAGAGGCGCCCATCCTTTCTACATTATGGGTTTAAAAATGTATGTCTGAGTAAAATAAAACAAATCAAATTTAGCACATATAGTGCATTCATAAAGCATTTAGACCCTATAGTTTTTCATTAATCTACACTCAGTTGCCCTATAATGACAAAGTGAAAACAGAATTTTATAAATGTTTGTGAATTTATTCCAAAGAAAAAACTTCAAATATCACATAGACTTAAGTATTCAGACCCTTTACTCAGTACTTTGTTGAAGTACCTAATGTAGCAATTACAGCCTTGAGTCTTTTTGGGTATGACGTGACAAGCTTTGCACACCTGGATTGAGGGATTTTCTGCTAGTCTTCTTTGCAAATCCTGTCAAGCTCAGTCAGGTTGGTTGAGATGGTATTGGGCAGGTAATGAGTGGCTTGGTTTCCTCCTCACATAACATTTAGAATTGAGGTCAAGAAGTTCAATCTTGGTTTCCTCAGACTATAGAATTTTGTTCCTCACAGTCTGAGAGTCCTCCAGGTGCTTTTTTGCAAACTCCAAACGGGATTTCATGTGTTTTGCATTGAGGAGCGGCTTCCGTCTAGCCACTCTGCCATGAAACCTAGATCAGTGGAGGGCTGTAATGATGAAGTTTATCCTTCTTAAAATTTGTCCCATCTCCACACAGGATCTCTGGAGCTCAGTCAGGGTGACTATCAAGTTCTTGGTTTCCTATAACCCTACCTCTCTCTGTGAGTCCTCAGTTTAGTGATAATGTCTTTAGGTGATGGACTGCTTCTCTTTTGTGCAGAGACCAGCTTACATTTATTATTATTATTATTTTTTTTTTCTAGTTCTTTAATCAGCCCCCTCAGTCTTCTAATGCCTACACAGAAGCAGTGTATCCGGATCAGTGCAACCCTGGAAACCATACCCCATGGGGACAGTCTGCAATGTTGCTTTGGATGCTGGATCCGGCATGGTATGCTTACATTGGCACTTGGTGCAAATTAACTGCAGGGTGCTATACATGCCAGGGCCGTCTTCCATGACAATGGAACAGAGTTCCTGAAGACCCCTTCGTGGGTATGCCTGTCATTATGGGTGAAGCTTGTGAATCCTGTGTGGAGTGTTCAGCTTGGCACTTGGTACAACGTATTCAGTTAGCCACAGGGTGTTATACACGTTTAGGGCCATGGTCCATCACAGTGGAGCCCAATTCTGGAAGACTTTTTTTTTTTTGTCTTTCAAATATCTGATACAGGTTTTTTTTTTTTACAGATGTTCACATTACTCTGCTGTTGGTGGCATAACCGTTCAGATTTTACCGAAAAATGCATTTTAATGTTCCCTACTATACACGTTTTAACATTGGTCACATATATCCTTTTTATATGTTTTACACATTTTTCATACGCTGTTATATTCTTATCTCTATTTACCAAGGTTTTAAAATTATCTTTATTGGGTCAACCAATCTGAATAGATTATGTGATCCAATTGTACCTTTTTGTTCGTTAATAGTGTGAAAATGGCTCACTTCTGGTCAGTATTTTTAACCATTTATATACTGGATTTATGGAATTATCATTTATAACCATCTAATATTTTGTATGATTTTGAACAACTATAATTATATACAGATTGATTTTTGTCAATTTGATTCAAGTACTATGTACTGGCTGTACCCATTTTCATTATTTGGATAGCAGAATAGAGCCATCTAGTGAGAGGTTCTTTTTTTGTACCTGTAGTTTCACAAGATTATCTAGCATTGGTATTTCCAGGTCCAGAGTTCACACTCTGGCTATAGTGGCTGTACTTAATTCTGAGTATTTAATAGTCTTTAATCATCCCTGGATCGCGAGATATATATACACACATTTATTGCATGTGTAATGCAAGCGCTTTCTATGAATTAATCCTAAGTGGAACCTTCTCCCTGAGATGTCCTCTACCCATGCTAGCGTTCCACGGACTCTGGCAAAATGGGTGCCGTGAACGTACTGCGCATGCGCGAACAGCCCGCGATGACGCAGGCACATTACACTGCGCATGCGCGAGGCATTCATTCCGCGCATGCGCAGTAGCATCTAAATGATGCGAAAGCGTCATACAGCATGTGAGCACCATCCAGTATAAACAGGAGGCTTCAACAAGTGGCACACTCCCTTTAAAAAGTGTATTTACACGAAACGTGTCAGGGAGGTTCCCGCACACAGTGTTACTAGCCTGCACGGTCCCTATGAACGACCAGCGGCCTTCTTGATATTTTATGTAAGTTGTTTACCTGTTTTTATACTACATCCTTTAATAAAAAATACTACACTATCGGATACCTCTCTTCTGGGCTTGTTTGTTCTGCGAGCCCTCCCCAAGGTGATTCCTGACACATGAGAGTGGGTAACATTCTCCTAGTGGCTGATGGAATACCTGGTGATGAGCTTTCTACCTTCGGACGCCTAGTACCTGGATGCTGGTGACCTGGTGACCATTCACGTTGCAGTGCTCAAGATCCAGATGACCAGGAGTAGGTCTTATTTACTCCAATGCGCAATAATTTGCACTATCTGGTTAGTGCAATCAACATTCATTATTTAAGCCACAGATGTCACGGATTGTTTTATGATTTTGCAATACCACCGAATAGACTGACTTTGGCACTATTGTCACTATTTTGCACCTTTTCTCTTCAAGATATCTGTCATTGTTTTTTTATTATTGGTTTCAGTACCAAGTCTTGTTGCTTATTTGCATACGTATATCTTTTTAACATCCATTTTATTATTCAATTTGTAGCGCTGCATATTTTATGTTCATTGAATTCTTGAAGACTTCTTCGGGATGCCTACCATGTCGGGCAAAGCTTGGAGTTTAAATACAGTCCAGAATCATAAACCCTGCGTGGGCGCTAACCTTGGCACTTGGTGCAACACGTGGAATTAGCCTTTTATGTATTACCATACTGCTGAAGCCCATCACAATGGTTATCTCCAACTAAGCCAAGAGGCCCATTTTCCTTGCTGCTTAGACAAAGGACTATTCATTAAAACTTCACTAAGACTTTTACAATGTTGTTGAAGATCTCTGTACATAATAAGGAATACATCCTCAGCATGCAACCCTTGCAAATAGTGGGCCGTGGATACATTTTATGTCTGCATCCCTCTCAAGTACTAGGCTATGTATGAGCTTCTCTAGGAACAACATAAATTTGTACAGATATGTGCAAGAATGTCCTATTTTTTGCATACACTTGTACGATATGCTCATGTATAGCACTTCAGCATATACTCGAATACAGATGCATACAGCCATTTATGTCTATGGGTGGCAGTACGCAGCATCTGGTCTTTTTTGGGTGGAAGAATTATGCCAGAGTTTATAATGCTCAGGCTGCTGTGTGCAAAAAAAAGCCTTATAGGTATTTAGGCACAACAAAGCCCTATAATTTTTATGCGTGCTGTCTATGGGCACACTATTGTAAAATTAATTTAGATCAAACCAGAATGTGTGCTACAAGATATGTTTTTTTGTGTAGTATTACAAAGCTACTCCATACATTTGAGACCTAAGTGTTCAGAAAGGAGGTACAGCAAAGGAACCTAATGAAATGAGTTTTGGTTGCTGTTTTCAAAGCCCTGTGATTGTAACAAACTAATTCAATAAAAAATCCAGACTCTACAAAATTTCAAAATGAGCAATTTAGAAGAAAAGCATATTTGCATTTATCTGGTAATCTTATTTTTTTTTTTTCTTTTACTTAGCAATGAACATTATATAGAATTCCTGGTATTAGTCAGCTTTCCGGACTTCTCATAACTACCCAGAATTAACATTTTAAACAAAGTAGTTCAGTATCTGAAATGAAATACCATAATAGTATTAGATGTGGTTTTCACAAAGAAGCAAAACATTACAATGTTCTTTTTTTTTTTTTTTTACTTTGGCTATAGGGTTTATTCTTGTAACATCTGTCCAGAAAATCCCCTCTTTTGTATGGTTGACTTTTTATATTAGAAGACTTATTTACTTGTTAGCAGCTTTTTTCATGATTTTTCTTTCCTAGTTTTAATGCAAAATATTTTGTGGAATTGACACAATTTCTTTTTTTATTGCTGTTTAGTTACTGAATATTTTAATCAACATAGAAAAATAGGGGGATTAAGCTGGCTATTCAGCAGGAATTGGCCAAATTTTGATCCATCTATGGGCAGGCTAAACTGAAGTTGATATATCAGTTTGTTACTTTGTTCTGCACGTAAAAAGCACAGGGTCATGTTAAAGGGTCATCATAATGACCATCACCCCAGAGCACACAGAGAATGTTATAAATTTAGTATTTATTTTGAATATTTGAGTTGCATATGTTTTATTTTATTTGCATTGTACAGGAGCACATTTCTTTCACATATCTTTACATTGTGCAAAATAAAAAATAAATCGTTTCAGTTGCTGCTAAAGGATATTTTTTTCTGGAGTGTGCCATTCTGAAATACAATCAATAATATATTCAATTTCCACAGGGGGTGTCATTAATTTGTCTGTACCAATTGTGCTGACTGCTACCAATGAGGACAAGCAAAGGCTTGATGGCTGCACAGCATTCGCCTTGGTATACGAAGGCAGAAGAGTGGCTATATTACGGCATCCTGAGTTCTATGAGCATAGAAAAGAGGAACGTTGTGCTAGACAGTGGGGGACAACATGTAAGGAGCACCCATACATTAAGGTGAGGCCAGCTAAAGTATTCGCTCTTTAAACTTTATTTTGTTTTTGCTATTTGAAATATATAATGGTAATGAACATCAGTGTACAGTTGGGTTAAGGATAACATTTTTCGTGTTGGTGTACGGTAAGCATTTTGAAGAGGTGATATGTGAGGTTAGAGATCCCAGATTGTATTTTGGCTGTTCTTCTCATATGTTCGTTCTGCACTCCTGTGACCTGTTTTCAGCTGATAGCAGTCATCACTCTCTGCTCACAGCGGCCATAAGAACTCGGCGTTCAACGGTCATGTGACCGCTGAGTTCTTACACTTATAGCCAGTGGGAGACAGACACAGACACCTAGGTAAGTATAATTTGGAAAATAATTTCCTTACTTCTTTTAAAGTTTTTTTGGTTTTTTTTTGTGTTTTCTTTTTAAGGTATCTGCATTGCACACAAGATGTCTCCGTTTGGGATGCTTGCATCCTCCATTCATTTTTAGGTCAGAGTACTTGTAGACTGAATAAAGGAATGCTCTGCATAAGATACAATGAGGACTGATATCACTCCTCAGTATATTCTTACCATGATTTGCTGTGTATCTAGGCCATCTACTCTCACAGAAAGCCTTGCTTTCTCTACAAACAGTCTCTCGTCCTCTGTTCTTTTGGCTTGAAAACAGAGTCGCATAAAAGAAAACATGTGCTTGTTCCCCAAGGGTTTGTATGTTTTGTTTTTATTTAACTAGATACTCCCAAACAGTGGTAGTTTTCAGTGACTGTTCCAGTGTTTTTCAGTGCAGTTTTTAGCCTTTTTTTTTTCTCACAAATTTGAAAATAATATTATGGAAAACATCTTAGAACACCATGTCCTTGTACTATACACTCACCAGCCACTTTATTAGGTACACCTTGCTAGTACCAAGAAAATATCCCCTGCACCATTACACCAAGAGCCTGAACCATTGATACAAGGCAGGATGGATCCATGCTTTCATGCTGTTTACACCAAATTCTGACTACCATCCGAATGTTGCAGCAACCAGTCTGCCCATTCTCTCCTGACCTCTGACATCAACAAGATATTTTCATTCACACAACTGCCTCTCACTGGATATTTTCTCTTTTTCGGACCATTCTCTGTAAACCCTGGAGAATGTTGTGCGTGAAAATCCCAGTAGATCAGCAGTTTATGAAATATTCAGACCAGCCCGTCTGGCGCCAACAACCATGCCATGTTCAAAGTCACCTAGATCCCTTTTCTTCCCCATTCTGATGCTCTGTTTTGAACTTCAGCAAGTTGTCTTCACCACGTCTACATGTCTAAATGCTTTGCGTTGCTGCCATGTGGTTGGCTGGTTAGCAATTTGTGTTATTAAGCAATTGAACAGGTGTACCTACTAAAGTGGGCAGTACACATTCTGTATACAATACACAATGTATTTCAATTTGTATTTTTAGCTTTTTGATCAGAGCTTCACCATAATATAAAGGTATTTTGCATTTGTAAGGGGATATTTGAATTTTTCTTTTTTTTTTCAAATTAAGGGAGAGTTATAATACCTGTCAGGTTTTTTCCTGCCCTCTTGTGTCCCACTGGGGAGAGTTCCCTTCACTTCCTGTCCCATATCCAAAAAAAGAAGCAAGAGAAAAACCCTCCAAAGTGAGGGAATTCCTAGCTGTCACCGGGGTCATCAGAACTAGTGTCCCTATTGGAAGATTTCCCCTCTAATCCTGTTCTGGAGAGAACCCAAACTGTGGGATCTTCTTTTACTTTCTGTGATGCCAGTAAACAGGACGAATAAAGAATATGAATGTCCCTAATGGGGACCTGCTAATACTTGGTAGTGCTGCTCTAAGCAAAGAAAGGGAACATATAGTTCTGCTGGTGCTAAGGAATGGGGTGCTGGCTGAAAATATCGCCATCCAATAGTGTATAGTATACCTAGAAAAACTGCCGCTCAACCCAGTCCAGTCTATGTAGTTAACACTTGTAAGATGGCCTCAGCCATGCACCATTCCACAAGCCACACCCTTTCACCCCACCCTCCAGGGCTTAGACATAGAGATCTCCCTAATGGGAGCACAGATGGCAATAAATACTGACAGGTGTTCTAATACTTCTCCATTCAAGCCAAAACTAAAAAAAAAATGTTTTGCCTTTAGTTATATTTATCTCATCACCTTGGAAGTTATTGCATGTCCAGGTGAGCACATTTTACTATTTTCATGAGGAATGTAAGAAAAATACAGTGCTGGTTTTCAGCCTTGATTTTATAAATATTATGGTGTCTATCCAAGTACTGTTTAGAAATAAACCACATTGTGCTTATTTTACTATCTGTGGACTCCACAAAAGGGCTGTCAGTCTTTGGACAGAAAATTTCCTGTTTCTTTAGTTATGCAAAACATTTATTATTTGCTTTACAACTGTTTCTCAATTCATGCATAAAAAATCCCATGAAATCCTAATAGAATGTGCTGTTTGCCTTCTATGTAAATATCTGTTGTAGTTATCTAGTGGAGTCAGGGTATGTAGTAATTATGTGGGCTAGAGAGGCTACCTTTGTAGAGGTATGGTGGTTGTTTTTTCCTTCTCTTACAAGAAGAAAAAATGCTTTGTTTTTCCCCATTATGAGACCCTTTCCTGTTGGCTGACTATTGATGCCTTTGCTGCAGATGGTGATGGAGAGTGGAGAATGGCTGGTGGGGGGAGACCTTCAGGTCCTTGACCGCATTTATTGGGGTGATGGATTAGATCAGTACAGACTGACACCAGCTGAGCTCAAGCAAAAATTTAAAGACTGAATGCCGGTAAGTTTATGGAGGACTTGTTCATATTTTACTTTATACGATGTCAAGAAAAGGACAGAAAAGATGTTTATAATTATGAATGTGCTATCCATACTTTGAGTGGTATGCCAATTTACATAGTGACATTTTACAATGCAGTGCTGGATGAGATATGTTATTATAAGCCCCTTTTTAAATCTTCCCTTTCATATCTTTGTTCTGCAATAAGATTGTTAAGCTCCTGCTTAGAGAGATAAATTTAAGGGTATTTCCCAGCTTGTGCAGCTGCATATGTTAAAAACAAATATCCTGGGGGACTGATATAGGACCCTTAGATGGAAAATTGTGGGATGAAACGCTAAAGCTGGCCATACACTGATCAAAATGTGGGCAGTCTAGCAGGGAACCTTCAAATTTCCATGAGTGCCTGGGCTTCCCTGCTCGACAAATATCGATTGTTTAATTGACTTTTGTTTTGATAGGACATGTTGGAAATTTTCCCAACAAAATTTTTGATCAATGTATTCTGACATCCAGTGGAGGGTATTTGAACACACACACAAATAAGGTGAATGGAAGCATCCATTGATTTTTTTTTTGTGTTCAGCCAGCTAACAATGTATGGCCAGTGTAACACCTCTCAAACATATATTTCACGACTATCTGTCTTTCTAAAATAAAAATAAAAAACTTCCTATAGCTTTTAAGTCCCAGTGTTAGCAAACCAGCTGTACCTTTTTTACCATTATATTTGGTCACATTTTAAAATTGAGGACTATTGGCAGGAAGTGATTATATTTTTTAATGATGGCATGAGATCCCCAATGGCTCTAGACTCAAAGGCTGGCCTACTGGAGCTGTTTAACACTCTAGGCCTAGACAGCTCCCATATTTTCCTACAAGAAATACTGTTTGCTGGCAGAAAGCCTATAGCTGAACTAAGAGTGATATCAATGCTAACTTGCCAGCTAAGCTAAGTTTAAAAGCCTAGAGGTTACCATTCAAAATACAATATATAAGGCAAATGGTTATCTTTGGCCACCTCCTGCATTTCACTGGCAGAAAATAAGATATTTCCTGTTAAAGCAGAATAACCTAGATTCTTTTGTGCATGTGTATAACTTTTTTCTATTTTAATTTCTGAAGGTTTTTCTTTAAAAAATAAAGTTGTGTGCAATATTTACCTGTATAATTTATGTGAGAACTATCTAAACATCAGATATCTAAAATGAAGCTTTAATCGTAGAAGACTTTTTTTTTAAATGCACAACTAATTTTCTGGCCATAAGGCTACATTCACACTGCCTATTAGGGCCAGTGAAAATAGTAGTGGCAGGAATCGGAGATTTCTGCTGCTGCTCTCAGCGGGTAGGTGTGGCCACCAAACCTGTTTACTATAATGACATGTTGCCTGTGGGCGCACCTATTCATGGTTTATCTAAAAAGGCAGGGTGTGCGAGCTGCGATGATCACTGGCTGTGCAGAGCGTCCCAAATACCCACAGCGGGAGCTGCTGCTGCAATTCACCCCAGCCCTAATCGCCGGTGTGAATGTAGCCTTAAGTGCACACCTTTTCATTCTGTTCTGAAATGGCTGATCAGATCTAGCATTTGTTTAGGTTCAGCTACATATTAAATATTCACAGAATGTGAAATATATTGCCGGGGTCATCCTAGCCTTTTTGTTGCCTTATGCAAAGTGTGTGCCCCCTCCAGCTAACATTGTAGCCATGCAAATTGTGCAACCTTTGCAGGTGTGACTTGTTATCCACTTCTACAACACAGACAAGCCTAGCATGAACTTAGTCCACCTCATCTTTGCCTTGCAGCCTGGAATGTTGGGATTTGAAGTTTCTCAGGAGTAGGAGATGTTTTGTAATGAATATATCTCCCAATTTCAAAACTTGAGAGAGGGAATTCCTATGATGGAGAACTCCATGTGGTACACATTGCCCGCAATGGTTAAAATGACTGTAGATAAATTGCACTGAATATTAAGGAGCATGGTTAAATAGAGTCTAAGCTACAGAGGGGAGGAGCCTGACCATCTGGGTGCCCAATGTTCGAGCTCCCGGTCATCAAGCGCTCCCTTCTTCCCGCAAAAGAGTGATGCCCAGGAGGCTGTGCCATGCTTGGGGCTGCTCCTTGGTGGGGGGAGTCTGTCTGGGGTGCGCTCCCTCGGTGGTGTCGATTGTGGTGGTGGAGGATGGAGTGGGAGGAGTCGGCTGGCTGCAGGAGAGGTGGACTCTGCCAGTGGTCGGAGCGGTGGATGCTGGTTGCTCACGTGGTCTCCGCGGAGGAGTGTTGGGAGATAGAGACACCAGCTGGCTCACCACAGAGGAGAACCTGGTCGTTCCACCACAAGACTGCCCAGGACCCTCGGAACTTCACAGAGGGTGACCCCCCTAATAGCTCACCATCACTGATGGGGTGTTTGACAGCTTGACTGAGTGAGGAATCCCCTTAGGAAGAGGAAACCCATCTGTAGCCACTGCAGTGGAAGAAGGTGGTGTGGAGGAGGTATATGAGGGGCTACAGGGGATGATGAGTTAAAAATTTAAAATGGACTTATATTGCTTAAATCTCACTAGGGGGATCACCCAAGGAGTCTAGAAGGAGCTGACACAGAGACATAAGAGAGAAAAAGAACCAGGAGGGGGATCGGTGTGGCGGAGAAGGAGAGGAAAGGAAAAAAAATTAAAGGGACACTATCTCTTGAGAGCCATAACTCCAACTTGCTCCGCAGACGTAACCCTATGGCTGGGAAACAATAGAAAATTACATTAACATCATGAATATCAGTGTAGAAGCAGAAGATATAGAAAATGAGTCGGTCATTGAGAATCTCGAAGAGCAAGAAAGGACCTCACAGACGCTTACTAAATCCGATATAGCAGAAATGTTTGAGATTGTAGGCTCTATAAAACAGGAGATGGCGATGATACATAAAAATCTGGGGCAAGTTTTGTCACGAGTAGAGGAGACTGAGGGGAAATTGAATAAACACGCCCAAGCAATAACAAAATTAGAAAAACAGATGGAAGATATGAGAAAAGAGCAAAGGAGTCTGCTATATAAATTTTAAGATCAGGAGAACAAAGGGAGAAGGTGTAATCTGAGGAGACGGGGTTTACCTGAGACCTCGCAAGGAGAAGATTTGATGGAGACAATGGTGAAAATGTTTAATACAATAACGGACAGATTAGCAACTGAGGATCTGAAGATTGATAGAGTGCACAGAATAGGAAGACCCCAAGGAAGCGGAATCATTACAAAGATAAAGTGGTTATGGAAGAAGACAAAAGGAAGACCAGTAATAAAATTTGGAGAAGCAAAGCTACAGATTTTTGCTGATATATCATCAGAAACATTGTCCAGAAGGAGAACGCTGAAACCATTACTGGAACAGATGAAAAAAACAAAACGTTTGATACAGTTGGGGATTTCCAGCATGCTTACTTGGATGAAAAGAGGGTCGCTCTGCAAAACTGAGATTCCCAGAAGGCTTGAGAGACTTTTGCGAGAGACTTGAACTACAGATAATAGACATTCCAGGATGGGAAGTGGGGGGCAAAAGAGAATAGGGCAATAGAAAAAGAGAGTTGGCAGTTAGCCCCTAAAAGAAAAATGCATCAGAGACAAAATAAGGGAGGAAGAGGAGGAACAGGAGGGAGATTTTTTTTGAAAGCCCGTAGTTGATTTTTTTTTTTTTTTTTCTTTCCCCTTTCCTTTCCTCCTCTCCCTCCCCTTCTCCTGAATAAGGTAAAAATGTAAGATTTAAGTTAGAGGATAAGTTGGAGGATCCTGAGGGGCGTTTTTTGTTCCTGAGGGGGAGATTATAGGAAACAGAGTGTACACTGGCAAATATTTATTGCCTTAATAGAAATCCAATGGCCTATCTGAAGAATATATTGGGAAAGCTCCTGGATTTTAAACTGGGCAAATTAATTGTGCCAGGGGATTTTAATTTTTGCATGGACCCTCAGATTGATATGACGTCGCATGTACAGAGAGAAGGAGGTAGATATCTGAAAGCTATGCAAAGAATGTTATATCAGTGTCAACTAGTAGATGTTTGGAAAGTTAAACATCCCAGAAATAGACTATACGTTCTACTCTCCAGCACATTCGAGTAAATATAGAAGTTGCAACGTTATCGGACCATGCACTGGTTACAATGAATTTATCATGGGGAGAGCGCAGAATAAGATAAATATGTGGAAATTAAATGAGACCCTCCTTCAGGATCATGAGATGGAATTGAGAATAAAAAAAGAAATAGAACAATACTTTGAAAGAAATGAGACGGAAGGCGTTTCAATGGCCACAGTGTGGGAAGCACATAAGGCATATATCAGGGGAATTTTGATAGCGATTGGGATAAAAAAAAAAATTAAAAAATGAGTGGCTAAACTAAATCAATACGCTATTAAGTGCTATATGAACTAGAACAGTTACATAAAAAGAGAATAGCAAGAGACATACAGAAAAAAATAATAAATATGTGGGAGGAACTATATAACCTAATGGAGGAAGAAACGAGGAGAACATTTAACATGATGGCAAGAGAGAGATATCAGTGGGGGAATAAACCTGGTAAATATTTAATGAGAGTACAGAGAAAGAAGAAATAAAGGAATTATATTGAGAAAATTAAAGATAACGGAGAATTGGTTTACTCAACCACTGATATCGCTAAGGTATTTAAAAAATATTATAGCAAACTGTATGATGTAAACTCAAAACAGTTAAAAGGGGGGGAAGAAGAGCGAACTAGAAAGAGGCAGATGTATTTGAGAGAGTCGGGACTACCAAGATTAGGAGAAGAATGGTTAACATGTCTAGAAGAACCAACATGTCTTGAAGGGTACAGCCATGGGGAGGAGCCCGGGGCCAGTTGGGTACACCATCAGATACTATAAAAAATTTAAAGAACAATTAGTCCCCAAATTGAGTATATATATATATGAATGCATTAGAATAAGAGATGGAAATGACGGAGGAGTCATTACAAGC